CAAGAAGCAGGGTATATTTGTAGCAACAGCCAAAAATACATCGTATGGGTCAAAATGATCGGTTTTTCTTTTATGCCAAAAATCATTAGGACATTAAGTAAAGATCATGTTCCATTAAGATATTTTGTAAATTTCCTACCGTAAATATATCAAAACTTAATTTTTGATTTTTTGATTACTAATTTTGATTAGTAATATGCATTGCTAAGAACTTCATTTGAACAACTTTAAAGATGATTTTCTCAATATTTAGATTTTTTTGCACCCTCAGATTCAAGATTTTCAAATAGTTGTATCTCAGCCAAATTCCTATCCTAACAAACCATACATCAATGGAAAGCTTATTTATTCAGCTTTCAGATGAATTGACCCTTATGACTGGTTTTCAGTGTTGGGGGTAGTAACACATTACAAGTAACGCGAGTTACGTAATCAGATTATTATTTTCAAGTAACTAGTAAAGTAACGCATTACTTTTTAATTTACAAGGTCCAGATTTAAAAAGTAACGCAAAAGTAATGTAACGCATTACTTTCCACAAATAGTAACTAAGTAACGTAATTAGTTACTTTTTTATGGAGTAACGCAATATTGTAATGCATTACTTTTAAAAGTAACTTTCCCCAACACTGCTGGTTTTGTGGTCCAGGGTCACATATAGATATACACACAACCATTCAGAAGTTTGGGGGCAGTAAGATTTTATTTTTATTTTTTTTATTGTTGTTGAAAGAAATTAATACATTTATTCAGCATGGACGCATTAAATTGATCAAAAGACAAATAAAAGGCATTTATAAACTTACAAAAGACTTCTATTTCAAATAAATGCTGTTCTTTTGAACTTTCTGTTCATGAAAGAATCCTGAAAAGTAAAATGTATCACGGTTTCCATAGAAATATTGTGCAGCACGACTGTTTTCAACATTGATAATAATCAGAAATGTTTCTTGAGCAGCAAATCAGCATATATTTTTAAATGTAATTTATTCCTAGGATTCAAAGTTGAATTTTCAGTATTTAATATTTTTTATGTTTTGTTTTATTTATAATTTTTTTTTATTTTGGTCCATTTAATTTGTTGACTAATTCTTTTAAATTTTTAGGTTTTTTTCTCTTTTGTATATTCATAACCTTAGGTTTAGCCTACTGTAATGTATTAAATTAATTTATTGCTATAAATATAATTTATGTATAGTTCAAAAACAGATTTTATTTTTTACATTTTGTTTTATTTTATTATTTTATTTCATCAAAATCTGTTTTTGAACTATACATAAGTAATAATAAATTAACTGATTATGCAAAAAGAAAAACATTTGAAAATGGACCAAATAATAAAATTAAATAAATAAGTAAAATGCTGAAAAATTCAGCTTTGCAGGAACAAGAATAAATTACATTATAGAATATGTTACAATAGGAAACGGTTATTTTAAATTGTAATAATATTTCAGAATATTACTGTTTTTACTGTATTATTATTCAAAGAAATGCAGCTTTGGTGAGCAGAAGAGACTTCTTTCAGAAACAAACAAAAAAAAACAACATAGTACTTTTGAACACTATATATATATATATATATATATAACTCTTACCCGTCTCTATGTTTCTGACTCAGATCAAGCTGTCAGACTTTGGCTTCTGCGCTCAGATCAGTAAAGATATCCCGAAGAGGAAGTCTCTGGTGGGAACGCCGTACTGGAAAATAGAATAAAATAGAATAAAATAAAATAATAAAGTGAAAAATAACTATTCATTATTCAATTAAATGGTCTGGTCCATAATAATAATGTAAAGTCCCATTGTGTACAAACTGATATGTGTGTGTTTAAACTGGTGTCCATATCTGTTAAAAAACATCCAGGCCAGTCATGTGTTACTTTGTCTCGTCTGTTTCCCTGTGAACGTCCCGTTCGTCTGCAGGTGTCCCCGGTGCTGAAGGACTTCCTGAAGCGCATGCTGACGCGGGATCCGCTGGAGCGGGCCAGTGCCACAGACCTCCTGGAGCACCCCTTCCTCCTGCAGGCCAGCTCTCCGCAGTGCCTGGTGCCCCTGGATATATAAACAGTATAATAAATGAACCAAAACATTCTTTAACAGTAGGCTAAACCTAATGTCATGAATTTACAAAAGAGAAAATGTGAAAAATAATTAGTCAACAAATTAAATGAGCCAAATAAAAAAAAAAAAAAAAAAAAAAATCAGAGCAGAAGTGCGTCTGACTGAAATGTCACTGGGTTTTATGTTCTGTTTGAAGCGTGTTATAGTGATCGAATCTGTGGCCGCAGAAACCTGGAACAAGCCTCGTTCGTGAATGTCATGAATGTTTGTGTTCGTTTATCAAATATTTCAGCTCATTTTATAATGCTTTCACATAATGATCTCACTGTTGTTGTTCTTTTTATTTTTTTATTTTTTTACAGTTGACACAACTGTTAACAATTTACAATAAGGTTCCATTAGTTAACATGAACACTGAAAAATACTTCTAAAGCATTTATTAATCTTAGTTGATGTTAATTCCAACATTTATTAATACATTATTAACAACAAAAATAATAATAATAAATGACAATTATTTAAATTAAAATTGTGTCTGTTAATATTATTTAATGGACCTGAGCTAATATGAACTAACAACGAACAGTTGTATTAACTAAATGTTAACAAAGTATACTGTAGCAAATGTTGGTTAATGCATTATGCATTGTAAAGCATCACCTTAATATTTATTATCTACAAACTGGAATTATATATTTCAATCGATTTTATTAATTCAGTTGATGTGCATCACAAGTTGTATGTATATTGGCTAAATTTAAACACCTTCAAATGTGGCTCATTTAGTCAGATGTTAATGTATTGCTAAATTAAATTAAATTATATTAAATTACATTTAAAAAATAAAATAAAATTAAAAAAAATTCCAACTGCTTCAAATGTGGCTAATCCAATCAGGTTAAATTAAATTAAATTAAATTACATTTTAAAAATAAAATAATAAAAAATTCCAACTGCTTCAAATGTGGCTCATCCAATCAGGTTAAATGAAATAATTAAATTAAATTAAATTAAATTAAATTAAATTAAATTAAATTAAATTAAATTAAATTAAATTAAATTAAATTAAATTAAATTAAATTAAATTAAATTAAATTAAATTAAATTAAATTAAATTAAATTAAATTAAATTAAATTAAATTAAATTAAATTAAATTAAATTAAATTAAAAATAAAATAAAATAAAATAAAATAAAATAATAAAAAATTCCAATATTTTTAAATGTGGCTCATCCGATTTTAATGTATTAAATTATATAAATTAAAATAAATTTAATTTAAAAGTAAAATAAAACAAAATAAAAGTAGCATACACCATATAATTCAATTGATGTGCATCACAAGTTGTATGTATTATTGCATACATTTCAACAGGTTCAAATGTGACTCATCCAGTCAGATTTTAATGTATTTTGTTATTTGATTTGTAATCTACACCTTTTTGGGTTGAGTTTCCAACAAAAGATAAAAAATTGGTCAAACATCAGAAATTGCTAATAAATTTCACAATTAAATACAAAGAAATGGCAAGTAACATTGAATTAAACATGAAATGTTAAAGTCGAAAGACTGAAACAGTATTTTCTCATAAAACTAACAATCTTCATTTTATTTACAATTTCAAAAAAATCATTGTACTGTTACCGTGATATAATATTACTTGCACCATGTATTTGGTCATAATGCAAATCTTTACTCTCAACAACTGATGACAGTGTGGTACTTTCACCTAACATTTACCATTTTAAATGCCAATATTTTATCCAGAATCAGCGCAGATTCGTTCTGGGCCGGCTGAAAGAGAGATTTAACGCCACAGGAGGCACATATTTCCTCTGCGTTTCTACAGCTCGTGTAAGACTGGCTTGCATGGCTAAACAGTGGCTTGAATCTTAATCTGAGGAACGAAAGCGTCTCTTCAGAAAAGGAGGTGAAACGATGTCAATTGTTTGAAACGTTTTTATGAGCCATTGTAACCAACTGTATATATTTTAATGACCGATTTATTATTATTTTTCAATGGATCGAAGAGCACCTGCTTTTGGAAAGGGTGCTGTGAGGGGTTTGTAAACCGTGTAACTATTGCATCTGAGCTTGAGAGGCGATTCCTGACTTCTTAAACTGCTGATTTCACTGTCAGGCATCGGAAGAACAAATAATGTACATAATCAGAGTGGGGAAATGACCTGTATTTGCATTGGTTTAATTATGAGCGAGGAAAGGAAAAGTCTGTTTATTGGTGTGTGTGTGTGTGTGTTTACATTTTGGATGCAGCATTCATTGTGATATCTTCATATCCTACCTGTTGTACTGTGATGTTTCCTAAATGATCATACTGACAGATTAAAGAGAGCAGGAGAGAGATGCTGGTTTGTGTCTTGGGCCGTTCACACTGGAAGCATTTCATCTGCACTGTTGTATTAATTGTTGGTCTTTATGTAAATATTCATCTTATGCAAAATGAAGATCATTTATTCACTCTTATGTTGTTCCAAACCTGCATACGGTTACTTTTTTTTGTGTAACATGAGCAATTTTTGAAGAATCTTTATGCAGCTCTTTCCTATGGAAGCTTGTTTTCACCACGGGTTCAATTCTGAGTTTATATGTCGCGATTGTTTTGTTTTTTTTTCGCCACAGAAGAAAAAACAAAAAGGTTACTGCAACTTTTTATCTTACAGTTCAGATTTTTTTCTCAGAATTGTGAGAAATAAACACAGAATTACAAGATATAAAATCAGAATTGCAAGATCACAACTATGAGAAAAAAAGTCTGAATTGTGTGATATAAACCCCGAATTACGAATAAGTTCAGAATTGCAAGATATAAACTCACCTTTCTAAGGAAAAAAAGTCTGAATTGCAGAATCGCAAGATCGCAAAATCTCAAACTCAGAAGTCAGAGAAAAAAAAAGTCTGAATTGCAACATGTAAACTCAACATTCAAATTTTTTTCCTCATAATTCTGTTTATATCTCGCAATTCTGACTTTTTTTCTCATAATTGCGAGAAACAAAGTCCGAATTGTGCAATTACCTTTTTTATTTTTTATTCTGAATTCAGACAAAAAAAGTCAGAATTGTTATGTAAACTCAGAATCTTTACTTTTTCCCTCACAATTCTGTTTATATTTCACATTTTTGTCTCATAATTGCAAGAAACAAAGTCTGAAATTATGAGATAAAAAGTCGCAATGACCTTTTTAATTTTCATACTTTCCTTTATAAAATTTCAAGTTTATACACTAAAAAAATTGGTGTAGAAACAATTTTAATTCAGAAAATTCATGTAAATTTCACAAACAATCACAAAGAAAAGGCAAATAACACATTGAATTAAATATGAAATTTTAAAATATAAAAACTGAAATAGCATTTTCTCGTAGAACACTTCAATAATCTTTTGTTTTATTTACACGACACAAGACAAAAAAAAAAAAAACACTTATCAACAGTTGTCCAAATGACTAATTATTCAAAGACTTTTGAAGTCATATGATGCTTTTTGCGAGGAACAGACCCAAATTTATTTAATTTAGTCAAAACCAAACTTCAGAGTGCATGTTTGAATATAGAAATGAGATTTGTGGAAGGGAATTGAATTGAATCCTCACAAATCTGTGTCATATTAAGTTAAAAGTGTTTCCGAACTCCTGCGTTTGTTTCTATAAGTCACACTCCATCTGTGTTTGTATGCAGGAACGCATCTGGTGTGAACGGCCCCTCGTTAGTTTGCACAGCTCTGTGTTTGTGTACATGACGCAGTCGAGGACACATGACTCATAATCAACCTTCTTTCCACAACATGTGTCGTGTGCTTGTTTGTGTGTTGGCTGTTGATGAAGAGAACTATACATTTCATTTTTTTAAAGAATAAATCATGCATATAAAAAAAACACTGATATCAAGTTTTATTTCTTATACACAGATGCTTTAAGCATACACAAGTGCTTTATTCATATATTTGCCTCTTTCACACAAATGCTTTGAGTTTATACAGTTGTTTCAGTATATTTGTCTGTGAAAGAATGCAGAATATAAACTATTTACATTATAGATATGCATAGATATACAAAACTGTATTTTAATGCTTACAAATCACAAACATTTGACTTTGCTCCAAAAAAATGCTTATAAAAATAGGTTATAACATGCATGCATGATTAAAGCATGTAAGTACTTAATGCACAGGCACTCTTTAGCAGTGCATAATAATGTCAGCAATAATTAAATTAGCTGAAGAACATTAATGAATCTACAGAGGCAGTCAAAAAGACCTTGAGAGCAGCAGCAGTTAAAAGTCTCGAGAGCTCTTAGAGTTCTTACATTCAGAAAGTACACGGCTATTTATAATGTCTCTGCCATAGTCAACAACATCTTCCTAAATGAGTGTTTTAATCTAAACATCATGTGTTTAAAAGCTCATTTAAGTGCAGGATTGCTCTCAAACTCGCATCTCACCGCGCTGATGCTGTCCACACTCGGCTGACTGTTCACTCTCATGTGCGTGTGTGAGAACGGGAAGGTCTCGGACCGGGACATCTTCCCTCTACCGTGTCCGGCGTCGCTGGGACAGTCTCTGATGTGTCGCATGAATTCAGGAGCCGTGAATCTGCGCAGGAGTCTGTTCCCGAATCCAGAGAGCCCAGAAGAG